TTTTTTTTTTTTTTTTTTTTTTTTTTTTTTTGATTACGAAAAAAAAGGAAGATAAAATAAAATAAAGTTTTTTGGGGTGGGGGTAATGTGAATCAGTAAGTTTTTTTTTGTTTTTTTTTTTTTTTTTTTTGAAAAATGGAACACAAGAAAGATAAGATAAATAAATAAAGATATTCTTTTCGGGGGTGAGGGAGTCGGTGAGTGGAGAGAGAGGTTTAAAGAAAGTGAGGGAGTGGATTGATTAAAAAAAGGATTGTGGGTTTGAAAGTGGAAAGATGAGAGAGATGGTGAGGTTGGACTGCGTAATTAGGGATGATGGGTTATATTATATGAAAAGATGGGGAACAAGACCATGTGAATTATATAGGGAAAGGTGGTGTGTAGATTAAAAAAAAAGATCCATAACTGACCAGGGTTTTGACCACCTCATTTCTCACGCGTCCTCTCCTCTCTCTCTCTCTCTCAACTTTCTCTCCCAACCAAGTTCTTTCTCAGCTTTCTCTGTAGAAGCATAAACTGCAGTGGCATCACCTGCTCTTCTTGGACACAATTTGATGGGGATTTTCTTGCCAGAGGCCTTCTCAAATGCAGCAACCATGTTTAGGAGGGCCGGCTTAACTTCGTGGTATTTGCGAGTCTTGAGCCCACAGTCGGGGTTAACCCACAAGATGTTGGTCTCGAGCACTTGAAGCATCTTGTTGATTCTATCAGCAATCTCTTCGGTTGATGGTATTCTAGGAGAGTGAATGTCGTAGAGCCCAGTAAGCATTCCCTTCATTGGGCGAGCAGTCATGCTTTGAGCCATAGAGGACCAGAAAACGGTCATTGCCATGGGGCGGCTCACATCACCAAAGATGATTGGTGGCTTCACACAACGAGATCCATAGGATTGCACCCACCCATTGGCAGAGAAGGCAAAGCCAGACAACTGCTCTCCAAAGTAGAAAATGCAGAGTAAGAGAAAGAGAGCGAAACTTCGACAAACGATAAAATATATATCTATAGAGAGAGAGAGAGTTGAAGATGCAGCGGAGTGAAGGTATGTGTAGAAAACTCCAGCGGGCAGTGAAGGCAAGGTTGCCGGCCGACTGCCCGCCGGTGAGAAAAAAAAAATATAGGCCTAAATCTTATAGCTCTGATACCATGTTAAAATTCAATGTATAAAGAGAAATAAATTCAATGTATAAAGAGAAATAGAGAATTGTATAGATATAGATTGTATTATTGATTGATGTATGTTGTGTTTACAATGAGTCCTATATGTAGAAGATTAGAGGAGGTAGGTATGTAGTAGGTGGAGTAGGTGAAGTGGGTGGAGTAGGTGTAGTGGTAGGTTTTGGTACATTTTAACAAAAAGTCAAAGGACTGACTAATAAAGAAAAACATTAATGAGAAATGAAAATCAGAATCTGGCTTTCTCATGATGTTATATTGCTAGCAAAAAGAACCCCTGCATACGCTCTGCATCACCTTAATAAAAGAAAAATCCCTTTTTGATTCCTGGACTCGTTCTCTCGTCTCCAAAAACACAATTTGCATTTTGGAAATGACTATGATTTGACAACCTGAGCATCATTCATTGATCAACCCTTTTCCCCAAATTAACAGGGTGACCTCTCGATCAACATTCAACCAACTATTGGTTCATTGAATAGGCATTGAAGATTAAGTTTAAATTGAGAGAGCGAGGAGGCGTTGTACTTTAACCCTGATATTTGATGAGGTGCTGGTTGGAGCTTTGGATAGATTACCCCAAAAAGTGTGAATTATGTCTTTTCTTGGTGCGTATTTCAGTTTACATAAAACAAAATGCACTCTCTTTTTGAAGTGTTCTGTTGATTATGTTGTCTTGGATAACTGTGCAGTCCAGGCTTCAAGCAAAGCAGGAAATTGGTGGAAACATGTTAAGATATTCAGGTTTGTTTTTTTATATGCTAATGCATAGCATCATTTTCATTCTATCAAATAATAATCATTTACATTAGATAAAAGAAATGTTGAAGTGCTTTTCATTAGATTTTAGAATTTCTCCACATCCTTATTTTTCATTCAACTCTGATTGTTTGAAAGCCCTGGAAGATCAGTTCATACAAAAGAAGTTTTACTAAAAGTGCATGGATGTATGTAGAGGAGTGTTGTTATAAGAATTTGTGCATTAATGGTGAACACGTAAATGGAATGGTGGAAATGATGCTTTTCAGACTTCTTTATTTCTTTTTCGAACAGAGCATTTATTCATAGATGAAGGATGATTGAACATATCCTGATGGTGGTAGTGCCACTCTTTAGTATTCTTTTGTTTGTCGAGTTATCTTCTATTCATTTTCTGATTTGCTCTTCTTGCAGTTCCATCTGCATGCTTTGCAGTGACATTAATAATGCTTATTTTAGTGTACTTTTTCTCGTGCAATCCGCATCTTCTAGTCTTTTTCTGTCCTTACCAATTTGATAAAAATGAGCTTATCCTTGCCCAGTGAAATACAGAACATCGACGAACCTTATCCTTGCAAATGGATTCTCCTACGTTGTTTTGGAATTTCTATATTCAGTTCTGTTTGTTCAAAAGAAAGTGAAGTAATATTATCTTATGGCTGTCAAAATGGTAATTGAGTTCCTTGCAATACAGGTACTTTTGATGCAATTATGAAGATGATCCGTTTTGAAGGGTTGTCCAGCTTTTACAAGGGGATGAGCACAAAGATAGTACAGAGTGTTTTTGCAGCCTCAGTACTTTTTATGGTTAAGGAAGAGCTTGTTAAGGCTTTTGCGGTGCTCGCAGATAAATGCCAGAAATTTCGATTGAATATTGTGAAATGATTCCTTTGGCTTGTATAAAAACTAAATGCACTGTTCTTCTGGTCTCTTCTTCATTCGCAATAAATGAATGTTGTTTTACGTCAGTTATGATAGTGCTTAATGCTCAACATGACTAAGAGAGAAGAATACTGAAGAGTTGCAAGTCCATTGATGAATATAATCTGAACCTTTAAAATCTACTAACGATATGTTTGGTTTGAGGATTTAGAAAGAAATTTGGAAAGTAAAAAGAAAAAGGTAGGTCAAATGTAAATAAAATATATTTATATTTCATCCAGTTTCACTCATTTTATTCCTTTCCATTTCCAAATCTCTTTTCAAATTTCCAATTAAATTCGGCATAAATGTATGTGATACATTGAGCATGGTAAATGCAGGTCTGATGATGTGCCTTGGGTATTGCAAACGGGTGAGTGTTTATTTATGACCTCTGATTGTGAGTTGATATATCATTGCTCTTATCTTGACGACTGGTCATGATGGTAAACTATTGTTCAGATCTGAGACATGACAATATGCTTTCCTTTCTTACAGTACTTGTGGTCTAATTGCAGTGATAGGGACGGAGAAGTTATTGGATGAAGAATAACTTGAAGATTAGGAAAATTTAGGCCTAGTTTGGGAAGACTAAATAAGTGTATTTTTTGACTTTTTATGAAATATGGATTAGGTTTGGGTTGGATTTGAAGTGATGTGTTAGAGAGGTAATGTGACTTAAATAAGATGATGTAACTTAAATAAGATAATGACTTTTTAACTTTTTATTTTTTTTCAATCATGCCAAACTTGACCTTAGTGTAATACAATTCAATTCCCTCTCTCTCTCTGTTCCCTTCGTTGTTCCCTTCTCTTTTGGGTGTACACGTAGTGTTGCTGGATCTTCATTTTATAGCCACATAATGCTCAACTTGCAGTCATTATAAGCCGTCGGATATATTTTTTTCTTTGGATGGATGATGCTTTGTTATCTATACTATATATTAAGTAAAAAAAAGTTTTTAACCCCAAGTCTTGTGAGAGTTTCAATCTCTTAATCTAAATTTCTTGATTTTTTGATTTAAAAAAAACATCTTAACATTTATTAACTTCTCTCAATCCCCAAGTCTTATCCTCATAATAACATTTTAATGCATTAAGAACAAACATAAAAAAAAATTCTTTAAAATTCAACACATATGAATTCCTTGAAAAGTCCCAACACATATGATTATTATCCCTCATAATAACACTTTAATGCATTAAGAACAAGCATAATTTTTTTTTAAAAAGTCCAACACATATAATTATTATCAAAATATTAAATTTTAATATAATATAATAAAAAAAAGACATTTAATTTCTTGAAAAGTCAAACACATATGATTATTATCAAAATATTAAACTTTAATATAATATAAAAAAGAAAAAAAAGAAGGCATTTAAAAAAAAAAATCAGCATTTATTGATTTGACTAAAATTTTCTGATCAACATTTATTAACTTTTTTCAATCTACAGTTCTTTCCACAAGTCTGCATTTATTGATTTGGTCAAAATCTCTTAATTAACATTTAAAATTCCCTCATATAAATAATTATAGATATAACTCATGTATAGTTATTGTAGTACCTTTTTAACTTCTCTCATACACTATGATTAATGATAAAATTATTAAATTATTTTTATAAAAATCTTAAAACATATAATTTATATATTAAAAAAATCTAAAATAAAAATAAATATTTATAATTATCCCGTGCATAATACGAGTAATATTCCTTTGTTATAAGTTATTTATTGAAGATCGATTGGATTGTACTTTTCATGACTAATCGCTGTGATCCACATCATTGTGCTTTGTTGACCAATCTAGTTTTGGTCTTGACATTATAGTTTTCCCGTTTCTTGGGTTTTGCCTATACTTAGGTCAAGTTTGGGATCTCCTAAAAAATTTAAAAAGTCAAAAAGTCATTATTCTATTTAAGTCACATCATCTTATTTAAGTCACATCATCTCTCTAACACATCACCTCAAACCCAACCCAAATCCAACTCATATTTCATAAAAAGTCAAAAAGTGCACTTATTTAGTCTTCCCAAACTTGGCCTCATATAAGTCAAATTCTTATTCTCTACACGAGATTATTATTTTTTATTTTATTTATGTAATCACTAATAGAAAAATGAGTTTGTGGGCTCAAATTTTTTTTCAACAATGATAGAGACCATTAATTTTGAAACTCTAAAAAGACCACTAATGACATGACACTCAATAAAAAAAAAAAAATACAACATCAAGGCCAAAATATCAAATCATTCATGGTGGGGCCTACTGTCACATCATTAGTGGTAGCACTAATTAGTGCTTCCACTCATTTTCCAATTTTTTTTGACCATTTGATTAGCTGTGGGGAATTTTTTTCTCTTCCCAATTTTTTTGACCATTTTTTTTTTCCTCATATAAGTCAATTTTTTTTTTTTACTACGATATATGAAACAAAAAATTAATCACAAATATCTTTCAAACCTATGTCGTTTTAGTTTTATTTATAATTTACTCAGTATGATTTGGAATTTCAAAAAAGAATTTTACTGAGTTTTAAATCCACAATTTTTTTTTATTTTAGTTAAATTTTCTAACATTTTAATGGATGTCTTATTTATTATTTTGTAGATCCATAATTTTATAAATTTTTTATTGAACACAACAAAATATAAAAATGTATTGAAATCATCTTCTTTTTTTTGGCTCCATATTTTTCCTGTATTCAATGAATTTCAAAAAAATTAATAACATTTTTATACTTTTTAAATGTACTTAAATTAACCGAATCTATATATATATATATATATATATATATTTTTTCAATTGACTAAAAAAAAAATTGAAATTTGATCCTAAATACGGTGATTTATTTTCACAAAGAATAGAGCAATTCGGGTATGTTTGGTTTGGTTTTGGAAGAGTAGTTTTTAAAAATTATTTTAGGGAGAGAGTTTAGAAATTCTTTTGGTTTGTTTGGTTGTGTATTTTGAAAGTAGTTTTGGAGTCTGGGAGTTTGGAATGATTTGATATTTTGTTATAATTGAGTAGATGTGTGTGAGAGAAAAAGTTATTGAGAATGAGAGAGGAAGTTATTGAGAATGAGAGAGGAGAGAGAAAAAGTGATTGATTGATAGGTAAGAAAGAGAAAGTGATTTTGGAAATTGTTTTGAAAAATTTACAAACCAAACAAATTTTTTAAATTTTTTTTTCCCAAAATCACTCTACAAATCCAAATCAAACATACCCTCAACTCATTTGCCCCAAAATTTTCGCCAAAATTTCCCGCTTTTCGTATATTGTATGTATAACAATTTCATCCCCAATTAGAGGCTTTTCTCATATTAAGCCAAATTACTATCTTAATTCCCAAACTAGGCCTAGTTTGGATGGAATTTCCAAACTAAGCTAAAGCGCTATTACAAATCACGCTTTCACTGTTTGGAGCAGAAAATTTGATTAATAGTGAAAGCGCTATTACAAACCACGCTTTTAATTAAGAAAGCGTGGTTGTAACCACGCTTTTAAGATAAATTTGTTTTTCTAAAGAAAACGTGGTTCTAAACCATGCTTTTACTGTGCATATTGTTTTCTTAAGAAAACGTGATTCGAAATTACGCTTTCACTGTGCATATTTGTTTTGTTAAGAAAACGTGATTCACAATCACGCTTTCACTGTTGATAAATGAAAGCGTGGATTGAAACCATGCTTTTACAACTTATATAAAACCCCCAAGCCCCTTCATTTGCAATCACGTTTTTTACACTTACGTTTTTTTTGACTCTCGCTCTCGCTCTCCCCTCTACTCTGCTCTCAGACTCTTGCTCTGCTCTCAGACTCTTACTCTCGCTCTCCCTCTGCTCTTAGACTCTCTCTTTGCTCTCACTCTCTGTCTCGGCTCTCTCTCTGTCCGTGGTATGGCATTTATCTCTCTCTGTCTTATTTGTATTTTATGTGTTTATTGTGTTTGTGAAAATGTGAATGTGCGGTTTTGAATTGGTAAAAAATGTTGTGGTTTTGAATTGTGAAAATTTTGTAGGGTTTTCAATTGAATGTGAAATCATAAATTATGAAATTAGAAATTAGGGTTATGAAATCATAAATGTGTTAGGGTTTTGAATTATGAAATGTGTGGTTAAATGTGTTAGGGTTTGGAATTATGAAGTGTGTTTGGGTTTTAAATGTGTGGTTATGAAATTATAAAATCATAAAATGTTAGGGTTTTGAATTGTGAAATCAGAAATTATGCTTGTGGTTTCAGAAATAAGGGTTTTGAATTTTGAATCGTGTCTATATTTTTTGTATTTTGAATTGTGAATCCTGTCTATATTTTTTGAAATTAGGGTTTGGAATTTTGAATTGTGAATTTTGAGTTTTGAATTGGAAATTATATTTTTTGCTTGTTAATAAAAGAAATTGAGAATTGAATTGAGAATTGAAATTCATATTGTGAATTCGAAACCCTAATTCAAAAACCCTAATTCATATTATGAGAATTGAGAATTGAAATTCATATTATGAAATTCATATTTTGCTTCTTATTTTTTGCTTGTTAATTGAGAATTGAGAATTGAAATTCATATTATGAAATTCATGAATTGAGAATTAAGGTGGACTGGCAATTTCAATTCGAGGTCCACACACTTACATATATATGATCATTTTGTTTCAGAAAATAAGACTGTAAACTGTATGATTGAATTCAAAATTTTAAAATTGAAATGAATCTAAAAAATTCAAAAGTTGAGAGATTTGGAAAAAAAAAAAAAATGATTTTAGTGCATAAGTGCCCATATAACTGATATAAGGGTATTTTTGAAAAACCCAAAATATGAGACATAAACACCCAGAGAAGACTTCTCTTTATAATAGTACTAGATATATATACACCTTTATTCAGTATTTCACTTGGTAATATCAAGGTGGGGTTGTATACTTGAATCTGCCGTCTATTATACTATATGAGAAATGGTATTTGTCACCTGATTTATTTCACTATACTATTTTACCCTCTAGGTGTATTTATTCAATTCAAGACATTGTGCATATTTAATAAAGGGAAATTTCACTTCAATGTGCATGTGCAAACTACCCATATAATTTAGAAATAACTATAATGTTCTTGTGGGTTGTGGACTAAATGAAGTAT